TTGCGGCTTTGATCGTGAAGTATCGGATAAATTCTTGCATTGGTATGCGAAATTTATAGAGGTATAGCTTCATAGCTTTTACAAATAGACAGCAAACATGTTAATTCGTGAACCCATGTAAACTATTTAATTGATAACTTCATATGTGCACCCATTAATTAGTTCATATGTAAACTATTTAATTGATTCATATATGAACCCATGTTCATATATGAATAAGTTAATTAGTTAATATGTGAATCATTTAATTAGTTAATATGTGAATCATACGGGTTCATATTTGAATCAGTTAAAAGAGTTAATATGTGAATTACACAAGTCATATATGAATATATGTGGATCACATAAGTTCATATATAAACCTGTTTGCCGTCTATTTGTAAAAGTATGAAACTGCCCTCTCTATTTTTCGTATAACCGTAATTTTAAACCAATCAAATCAACAATTATTGATCAGTCAAATTCGATCTTAACCCTATAAAGGGCTAAAATCACTTCTCAAATATTTACAACTTCTCAAAATAATCTTTAGCTATGTATATATACATACGAAGAAAGATCAAAATACTCTTTCTAAATCTAAAAAATATTAAATCTAATTTTTATAAATAATATATGGGGACGGGTGAGGGATAACATTACATGTCCTCACCCCCATCCCAAGTTTTTAACCTTTTGTAAATCCCCGTCCCTGTTTTCGGTTCTTGATTTTGCAGAGAATCTCAAGTCCCATTGGGACTGATACGTCAGGTTCTCTAATGAGACGGGTCTCATTCTCATGCTTATTTTCAATAACTGATCTTGTGTAAAACGTAATTAAATGGATCGAAATATGAATAATGAGCAGGAAAATGAAGGAATAAGGAGGGAGATGATAGACTTGGATTATGAAGATGCAGGCCCAAACACTAACAAAAGATCTGGACTTAATCTGCCTACCCCTGATCCTGAAGCACCTGCACCTCAACCCTAATTTCTCTTCTTTTTCTTACCTTCCAACAAATACTTTTTTCAACTTCTTCTCTTTCTTCTTTACCCACATACAACTTGAGTTTCAAATGTTCAATAAACTTGTTCCTTTCCGTTGCATGGTCGTTCCGTAACCGTAATTATAAATACGGGTTTTCTGTTCTATATTTAATCGGGACATGAATATGCTACACGGGTTGTGAGCTGAATCCACTCTCGTTGTTTTGTAACGACGGGCTACATCGTTTGTCAGCCCGATCGACTTCCTTCATTGTCTTTTATTCAGACCATTTATACGATTTATAGCAGTTAGTTGGCTTGACAACTGAAATCATCATATTCATTTTTATGTATCATAAAGTGTTCTTAAGATTTTGTTCATTATCACAGTGTTTGAAATGGTAGTCAGAGGTATATGACTAATATCAGGTGGATAAAAATCTGATATCCTAAAATCTCATATTTCATCTCTTTTTCATCAATAAAATTGAGATAAATTAAAATAATGCAATAGTAGATAGAGATGGTCAAAATGGGACTGTTCTGGACTGGTTATGGACCGATGGTTCGAGAACCGACTTTTATGAAAATTCAAGACTCGACCCAGCTTGAGACCAGTGACAGGACTGGTTATACATAGGTTCGATTTTTTTTAAAAAAAATTTAACCTTTATAAATTATATATCCTACAATATTTTTAAGTGTTTATTTTACCAACAACTTCAAGTTTTCTTTGAAATTATTAAGTCTTCCAATACTAAATTTCAAAAATTATAATTATACGAACATGTATAACACTTTGTGTAAAAAAAATCAAAGTGTATTTGAATGACCCAATTAGAGAATTTTAAGTGTATTTCAATAAGATATAAATCCAAAAAATAAAATCTTCAAACAATATTTTTTATAATGTTATTCAGTTTTTCATTTTTCTGAGGGTTTTCCTTGAACCTCACTCTCTACATATAACATATCTTAATGGGTAATGAGTAACGAAAATCCATTTATCCATACACCACCCACTAAAATGTCACAAATACAAGGACTGTATCTATAAGTTAGTCCAAATACTTCGACAAGTAGTGGAAAGGCTACTTGCGAACCCAAACTAATTTACAGATTTGATCCTTGTACTTACGGACCATGTTCGGAAACTTTTTTTTCTTGACATTTTGACCCCTCAGTAAATTGAGAACGTGTCATTTGTGAAGGTAGTGATATTTTTGAAGTTTTCGGAGAGAAATAGATAAGAGACGACTTTGGTCCCTGAAAATGGCTATTTTTATTAATTTCCCTAATTATCGTTAGCGTGAATTGTGGATTTGGTTCTTGTATTTTGATAGTTTTTTTTTTCCTAGGCTCCCTATAATATGTTTATTGAGATTTGTTCTTTGTGGTATTCAATTTGTTTCGACCATGATCTTTCTGACTAACGTCTATGTTAACTCCGTTAAATCAAAAGTCATTTTAGCCTTTTTGCCTATTCTTTTAATTTTTTTCCCTATAAAAAAGGTAAAACCAATTTTCTATACACACACACACAATGATGTCAAAATAAATAAAATAAGATATTAATTTGATTTGTTTAAATTGAAAAATTAATTATATTAAATACAATTTTATTTTAGTATTTTTGCCTATATAGGTATGAAAACCTGGTAGAAGTTTATTAGTGATTTGTTCAATTTTAAGTAACAAGGATGATAGTATGTATGGATCTTTCATTCAATTAAAATCTAAATAGTTGATTTTGAGTTTTTGAATGAAAAATAATATGACAATTGGAAACTTTAATTTTAAGATAATAAAATTGGAGTTCATTTCTTAATGGTTTTCAATGATTTTGGTGTTAAAATATCGATAAGAAGTTTGTTTATTGCAGTGATAGAAAAAGAATACTAAAGTTAAATCGTCTTTAACATAATTAAGTTTTAAATTTAAACAAATCAAATTATAAATTTATTTCTTATTTTATTCACTCTATTAAAATAAGACATGATTTTATGATTTGATTTGTTTAAATTAAAATTTTAATTACACTAAAACAATAAAACCGTATCTTTTCCACCATTGCAATAAAACAATAAACTTAAATCTTATTTAGTATTATTTATTTAAAAAAAATTAAACAAATCAAATCATACAATATTATATTTATTTTGATATAATTATATATATATATATATATACATATATATGTGTGTATATAAAAAATTCATTCTTTATAAGAAAAACACAAAGTTTAGGCAAAATGGCTAAAATGGTCATTAATTTTATGGAGTTAACGAAGGCCATAGTGAGAGGGACCATAGCCAAGGCAAATTGAATACGACAAGGACCAAATCCACTATAAACATAACATAGAGACTCCAATAAAAAAAGATATCAAAATAATTAGTATGACTTCCTCCCGTTTAATTTTTAGCCTACCTATTTTATAATTGAAATAAAATAGACAAATAGTCAAGATTTCATAAGAAATTAACCTCGTAGGAACCTCGACCTACCAACCTTAAAACAAAACCCATGGACAAAATCAATCTTGGATCGACGATGTATGACAGCAAAGGCGGGCACTGAAGAGATCTTGATGCAAGGACAAACCTAGTGTAGTGCATACGGTGGCACGGGCCACCACTTCGTTCAGTCATCATAGTGTAAAAAATTATTGGGTCTTGAAAAGTGTCACGGTGTCAATTTGTTGTGTGCCATCGTATATATCATAAAACTACAATTAGGACGCAAGACTTTTCTTTCACCCTAGACCCGAGTTTTAGTCCTGTTACTATTAGTGTCATTTTCTTAGTTTTTACCTTTTCATTTCAGATTTTTTATGTCTCTAAAAGATTTGTAATAAAATATTTGAACACATGACCTCACATATGAAAAACAATAAACTAACCACCAGAACAATGTTGATTTTGTGAAAAATATATGTATATTTGTTTTTTATAGTCAAATGATGTCACCATTTGAGAAAAAATTATAGGCCTATCTCTGTTGAGGGAGGCTAAAGGCGTGTAAAATGAAAAAGGCATATAGGTAAAAGAAAAACTATGGATGAATGTAAACAACACCCTTCAATAGGCTTAGCGAATAAGCCCTAGACTGCCTAATTAAGCCACAACCGAACAGATTTGTATAACTTTTCAAATAAAATGTTATTCAATCCATTAAGTCGCAACTCACAACCGAACAACCCATTAGTTTGCAAATGCAACCGAAGAATTAAAAGTCATAAGCAGGCTTGGGCTCTTTATGCAAATGGGTCTCATTATCTTCTAAACTAATTTGTGGGCTTCTTAATTGGGCTCTTTAAACTTCAACCCATACCCATATTGATATAAAATAGAGTAAACTACAAAGTTGGTCCCTATGGTTTGTTAAAAGTAACACTTTTTATCCTTAAAGTTTCAGACTTAGAAAATGGTCATCAGGATTTATAAAAAAAGTTTGAATTTGGTCCCTTACTCTAATGGTTGTTAAAAAAATTGTTAACTAAGTGGCAGCCACGTCCTTTTATCAATTCTTTTTTATCTTTTACCCAATCAAAAACCACAGATACTAAGAACATAAAAATCGATTTTGATTTTGTAAAAGACAAAAAATAAATAAAATGACGAAAATGCCCCTTATTTAACGAAATTTAACGGATGCTATATGGAGAGATCAAATTTGGATGTTTTTGCAAATCACAATAGCCATGTTATAATTTAGAAATTGCAATATAAAAAATATTATTTTCAACAAAACATAGGAAACTTATTTGTAGTTTACTTTATAAGAAATAATGTGAATAAACCTAAGGAACTTCGGCCTAACGGTATGTGAGTCCTTAGCCTCGTAGGAGGTCAATGGTTCAAACTTCACCAAATGTGGAAGAGTCTATTTGTTATATATAAAATATTATATACTATAAAAAATAATGTGAATAAATATAGTGATCAATCATATTTAAAAAAATTATTTAAATATTTTTCATTTATGGATTTAAATAAAAAAACATTACAGGAAATTTGGAAAAGAAATAACATACTTAAACGCATATTAATCTTAAAATGCAACATGTTTTTCTTATAGTTATACGATTACACCCGAGTAGGAATTTTAAAATGATTCCATACAACGGAAATGACACTATACGTTCATTTATATGAGTAGAGTACAATTTTATATTAGTCAAACTTGTATACGTATTTCCTATAGAACACAGTTACTTCAGTTTATTTAATTGTTCATCCCGATCCTACTGCTTCTTTCGAGAAGACAAAACAGAAAGAGATTCAAACTCATAACTTTCAAGGTATTAATTATAGTCCAAAATATCAGACTAGATACCACTGTAGGAAGTGGTTAACGAAATTGGCCTCCAGTATACGTTTGCCCGAACGACCAACTGGGAGGAGCCACATTGTAGGACACAAGACTTCGGCCATCCCCAGTGGTGACCTTAAAAGACAGAGATTGTCCGTTGAGGTAACTATTGCTTTGCCAATTTTGCCCCCAATTTCTGGACATTGGTTGCCAGCTTGTTCTCGACCCTTTGATGAATACAGTTCTCACATCCCCTGCATCTCCTACGTTTGTGATTAGAACCAAATTGAAGTATGAGTGCCCGTTTATTGTGAACCTAATCCCGCCCCTTCTTCTGCATGGTACCCTACAAGAACCAGGGCAAAATTGTCATTTTACCATAGATAGTAAAAGAAGGTCAAAATTGTCCTTTGGCACCTATAAGTAATAAGGGCAATAATAGATCACAAAAAGGTAATTTCGAATTTAGAAACTTTGATTTAATTAATACCGACCAAGTCTTTTAAATAACCCAGTTATGAGTTCATGATATTATGATAATAAATATGTGTTTTGACAATGAATGTCAAGGTACCATTGTGAATGTGATGGATGCTAAAAGACAGAACCACCCTTGACAACAACCGTGGTAAGTAAGTTTAATAATGAATACTAGTACCTGTATTAGTGAAAAGACGAAATTGCCCTTTGAGGATGCCTACTACAAATTTAAAGCACATGGAAGATGGTACCCGCCACCCAAAAACTAAACTGACGAAACGACCCTTGACAACAACGATCAAAGTCAACGTCAATACATGAAAAGAAAGAAGGACCCTTGAAAACGATGGTGTCACGAAACTATGTGAAAAGACCAAACCACCCTTGAAAAGACAACATTTTTAAATGTAAAAAAAGTAGTGTCGGAATCATTATACTCAATGTGAAATGACTAAAATATTATTGATGATTAATTAAAATACCTTCGATAAGCATTGACATAAATAATTAATGGGGATCGATGGGTATGTGAAAAGACGAAATCACCCTAAAAAATGACAATGTTATAAAAGGATATCTATGCAAGAAGTTAATGTAAAACGACTAAACCATCCTTACATGTAATTAACCAAGAACCTTCGATAAACGTTAACAATGAATAATGGGCATCGATAGGCACATGAAAAGATGAAATAAAAGCTATGTAATACTCAATGTAAAATGACCAAACTACCCTTTGTATATGATTAATCAACCACAAACCTTCGATACGCAACGGGCACAACTCCGGCTCGGTATTGAGCAATATGAAGGAAAATAGGCTGGGAAAGATCGAAATGAATATTATCACACCATCCTCCCGGCGGACAAAAATTGGTGGCGGTGACAACGATGGTTCCCGGAAGACACCATTGTGGATCATTCACACACCGGAGCTCAAAGCATGCTCCACAACTCAACCCATTGTTGAACAAAGGTGTACTCAATGCAGCAGTGTTTGTACCATACCCTTGACTATATAAGTTTCCATACCCACAAGCCCCACCTACATATAAACAAACCAAACCATTCATAATCTCCAACAGTTTCTTTATAATTTCTTTAAAATAAAAAAATAATCAATAAAATTCTTTTGTCCCGAAATTTTGTGTTTTTCTTGATGTCAACCAGTCATGTGAAAACACATAATCAGAGAAAGAGAGAAAGTAAATATATATATATATATATATATATATTTATATATAAAACAATAATGATGATGATGTGTTTTTACATGATTGGTAGAATACGGAGGAAACATACACTTTTATTTACAAAAAATGAATTCTAACTCCAATAGTTTTTTTCATTTTTGACTTTCCAAGTTCCAACCCAAATTAAGTACCCATATTTTTACGTTTTATTTATCTTAAAATAAATTCCGACTTTAAAAAAATAAACATCTACTCGTTAATTATGAGATAGCTTTATTTCTCTCTCTATTATTAATAATAAAATTATTCTTTAGTTAATTAAAAAGTATATAATTACAAAATCCTAAAAATATACGTTTTTTTTCATTATGAACACTTAATTTAGAACGATGGAACTAAAATATTCATTTATATATATATATATATTTAAAATATGTTTGGGAGTTTTTCTCGGTAAAGAATAATTAACTTCTAACTTCTGAAAATTTCATTTTTCTTTATATTAAAGAAACTGTTATAAATACTATTAAACACAAACCCTAATTCAAGAACATGTAATCAATGTACATACCCATTGTTCCCGAGGCATCACCACCACCATAGAAGGTGGCATGAGCATTGCTCCATGGAGTTATATAGTAACCATTAACCGACGATACAATTAACAGAAGAAAACTCGTCATTGGAATCAAAATCGCACCCATTTTTGATCGATTTCCTGCGAAAAAAAGGAATCAAAAAGTCCATACAACCATCACTTAATTGTGGGTGTTTTAGGGTTCAAGATAAGACATAAAGAACAATGATAGATTAACATAAGAAAACCCATTATCAAAATCATAATCGCACCCAAAATATATATATATATATATATATATATATATATATATGTGTGTGTGTGTGTGTGTGTGTGTGTGTGTTTAGGGTTCAAGAAACAAAAGGGAAGACATAAAAATGATGGAAGGAGAAGGATTTACAAGCAAGAAAGGAGGGTGCTTGAATGGAGATAGTTTTATGAAGATGGAGATGGAGGATTAAATAGAGGGTTTCTTGAATTTGCATGGACCCCTACAACTACAAATGGACATATACTTGTTTTCAATACATTGATGTCTATCACTTTAATTATAACCTCACTTGATCCAACCCGTTCGGTTATACCCGTTAATGACCGTTTATACGACTACGATAACCGGTTTACGTACGCGGATCGGTTTCAAAAACCCTGTTTCGAAAACCCTTTGAACCAACACTAGAACGATATAGGGTTTATAAGATGCTATAAATGTTTAAGTGTTCCAAATAGATAATGTTGGATGCCCTAAATGTTTTAAAGATGTTACAATAAGTTTGTATGATACTTTTGGACGTTTTAATAAGTTTTTTTAGAACATTTTGAAACTAAAGCGTCGTATTATAGCTATTTTATCAGATAATTTTGAGAAAACTGTCTTATTATCACATGATCACTGACGGAAAAACCACCACCATTAAATTTCCGACAAAAAATCTGACGGATTTTTGATCGGTGGAAAGATAATTTTTATTTTATTTCTTTCAATTATTTTTTTCAGGTGTCCGTCGGTGATCCATTGGTGAATTTTTCATCTCCTCACCGCGTTTAACCTAAAATGAAAATTTGGGTCGTGGGGGAGAGCCCATTCTCTTATACGACATCGAATAGCCAATCACATTAATTATTGTTTAACACCTCTAACCTACCTTTAATGCATGTATTTTTTTTTCCGATAAATGATTGTATTTACGTTTTTTTATTAACATGGATATCCAATCCGCTATGCGAGACGACTAATCCCAGGACAACTACCTGCTTTACAGATAGCTTGAAGTCACCGCATTTGAACCTCCGTAGCCACAAAAGAATTTTTATTCCTCATTGGATTTGAATCTGGTACCTCCTAGTACTTTTGACATTTGGAGCCAAACTCAAACCAATGAGGCACCACCCTTCGGGTATTACACTACAATAACATTAGGTTTCTAGGACGCCTAAAATTTTAAGTATCCTAATAGCATACTTTATAGGACTTAAGTTTATAGAATCAAATAAAAAATTGTCCTATCTAAAAAGGGTCACATTACGTTTATAAGAAGTTTTTTTTTTGCATTTTAATAAGTTTTTTAAGACACTTTTAAAATAAAGTATTATATTAGTTATTTTAAACACCACTGTTTGAAAAAAGAACCCATGAAAAATGGGTTTATAGAACACTTTTACAAAATTGTTCTATAAAATAGTTAACACGACACTTTATTTTAGAAACATTCTAAAAAATCTGTTAAAACGCCTAAAAACTCATGTAAACTTATTGTAATACATTTAGATATGATGTTTTATAATTTGGTTCTATAAACTTAAGTAACTTAAAATATGTTATTAAGACGTTTTAAGCCGATGTCTTATAAACTTAATTTTATTATAATATTAATTAAATTTAATAGGAATAAAAAATATTGAATTTGATATGCCATCAGTCATTTAATATGTGATGTCTTAATCTATTTCATCACTCTTAACACTTCAAAATCTAGGCCTCATGTATGAAATCCATATACATGACCAAGTTTTTATTTTCTTTTTTATATAATTTATATATTTTTTAATAATTTATCGACATTTGAAATTGAAGAGATTTGAATTCATAACTTATAGATTATTATTAAGAATTTCGAGTACTGAGATAAACTATATATACAATTTTGTAGCTACTTTTGTATGTAACATTGTGTATATTTTGGGACTAATGTGTAAATTTGAGGGGTTACAAGTTTGATATCAGAGCCATGTTTCGATTCTGAGATCTGTGAGTTATGGGCCCACCCCGCTTGCGTATAATTTGTACAAACAACAGTTTAAAAGAAATTGAGTAACGAGATGTTTGGATGTGCAATCGAGATTCAAAAAATAGTTGTAAACAAAATCGTTGTATAACAGATGGTTAAATAGCTTTACATTAACTTTTACAAACCGTATTTTACTGTAAATTCTTTATTTATTTTTAAATTTTTTAAAACTATTTATGACGTAAAAATATGATAATCATAATTATAATAACACCGTTAAATAGGTAGTTTAAGAAGAAAAAAAACCATACTTCGTTTCTTTAATGAATAAAAATATGATCTGAAACATATTTACAAAATTTCTGACAAAATTTTCAATAATCCAGTAATAAACTAGTGACGAATTTCCAACAAATTTCACTGGTCAGGTAATGAACTAGTGATGGATTCCGAGCAAAGTTCACTGGTCAGGTAATAAACTAGTGGTGGACTTCAATATAGACGGATTCAAGATTTTCTTTTAAGTGGTACCACAAAATAAACACCATTTTTTCGTAATTTTTTTAACATAAACCTTAAAGTTTTAATGTTTATAGTTTCATCCGACAAAATTTATGACCGTACACCTCATGAGCATGCAGGACTCATAGGGATCAAAGAGGAAAGCCCTTCTCTTAATTTCATTGAGGGTTTTTAAGAATGTAAAAATATACATTTAGCCACGTTTTTATGGTCTCACAGACGACCAAAACCTTAAGAGTGGGCCCGCCTTTGATTTCCAGCACCCATCAGAAGGAACTTGATTACTGTTCTCATAGTATATTATTTGGCATTTCAGAATTACCCCTAGAAACGACCTTCCATTTTGCATAGTTTATAAACTTTGTGAAGAATTAAACACAAATAGTTCCATTAAGAGACAGCCTCTGAATCACTAAGAGGTGAATCTTGTTTGGCAAAAAAAAAAAGCTTGCCTCTTAATGGTTCTAAAACCTCTCTGAATGATTTTGTATCTTGGGTCTCCCTTAACCATTCAACACACAAATTTCATTCTGAATAATTACCAAACAATTATATTTAATTTTGTATTATAGTATAAGAGTCTATTAATCATTCTGGTCACTTAATCATTCTGCACCAAATCATTCAGCAACTGTCAAACGATCCCTAAGAATTGTGGTTTGTTGAGAATTTTCCGGCTGCAAATATACCCTACTTAGGTGGAGCAACAAACAATTGAGTGAGGTTTTTTCTTATAAAAAGGAGCCAAAGCTTCGGTTATAATATTACATTGGAAAAAGTTGCGTAACGTCTACAAAAACTTGAATCAACTTATGCAACATTATACTGGAAAAAACTTGGTTACAAGTTGCTTGAGTGATACTTACATAATCTCGATCATTTTGATTAATAAGTTGAAACTGTGGCTATTAAATAAAGAAGAGGGGCCTGATCGGCTATTTTGAACAAAAAGCTAAGAGCATCTACAACAACTATGTTAAAATGGAGATTTTGAAGATTTAACAACTAAACTTTACTCCAACAATTATAGTAAAATATAGATTTTGAAGATTTAGCGAAAAATTTCATTCCAACAGCTATGTTAAAACATAAATTTTGGAAATTTAACAAATTTTTTTGCTCCAACAGTTATGCTAATACGTTTGCTATAATAGAGGAAAGATGAGGGTAAATGTGAAATTTTCTAAATTTTGATAAATCTCTAATACTATATATAGGATTGAGAAATAATAATTTAAAATTTTAATTATAAAATATCAATAAGAGGTATTGAAAATAAATGTTTAAAAAAATAATTTATTAAATTTACTAATTATTTTAATAATATAATTAATATTAAAATTAAAATTATTAAAATAAAGTAGCAGTTAGAATTGAATTTTTGATACTATATATATATATATGGACTTGGGATCATGTGAGACCAAGGGTTTTTCTTGAGACCCGTAAGACCAATTCTCAACCCTTATATTAGATCTACAATCCGACAATTTGAACATTCATAAACGCCACGAGACTTCTCAATAATCACAAAATTGTCACCGTGCAACTATATACCATTAGATCATTAGCTTATAAAGTTGATCAATGAACATAAATTGGTCTTACAGGTCTCACGAAAAACCCTTGGTCTCACATGAACCCAACCCTATATATATATATATATATATATATATATATATATACTATATTATAATGCATTTGACTAAAACTCTTAAAAACTCTTAAACTCTTAAAACTCTTAAACCCGTTCATCCCTATCCGATTTCATCCCATAACTGAATTCGTGTAACTAACTGCAGA